CTCAGCGATTTCTGTCACAAACAGGAATTCCAGTGAACATTTGCTGCTTTAACTGTTAGAACGATATTGATATTTATATAACTCATCTGCAGGACTGACCTTTCTGCTCTCATAGGACATATTCGCATTTAACAGTGAGCAATGAATAATTTTTTTCAAGCCAAAATAAAACGTGTATGTCTTTGGCAGTTTCAGACAAAGATTCTCCCAAAACAGAGAATAACTCATTCCCTATTAATTACCCAGGATGCTGCTCCCATTCCTTTTTGTAAAATCCCCAATAATGTGAAATCTGAAGTATTTGACGCAATGGCTATGGCATCCCTGTGATGAGAAGGTACTTGAAAGTTACAGCCTGCAAAGACCTTTAATGTGTCCCAGCCTAAGCACTCATGTGAGGTGGCCCTTATCTCTGTTTGGTTTGCAGAAGTGGAAACCTGACAGAGCACCCTGAAAATGTAACCAGTGATCTCAGTTGTCCCATTCCTGGTATCGTGCACTCTTCTGTGGCTACGAATACCGAGGGGCATAAAAAAAAAAATAGAGAGTAATGCCTTTTTTAAAACTAATTTAAATTGGTTTTAATTCATCTTTCACAACAGAATGAACAAGGCAAGCATGTCATTGTAAAGTAACCAGAAAAACACCAGAAACACCTATTTCTTCATCACAGCAGTTTGCAATTTATTCACTTAAATCCTCCATTTAGACACAACAGCAGTAACAAAATATCTGTACACTACTTCTTTTACAAATATAGATAGTATTTAAAGGGACTTTACATACTCTAATGTAGGTGTTTCTCACTCTAAGGAATAAGTATAGAAGAGCAATTCAATAACAACAGCATCCAGTAACGGTACCATCTGTTTTCTTTTGTCTTAGACTACCACAGTGTAACTTCTAGAATAGTTAGACAAAGAAGGTGGTTTTTTAGTTAATTCACTGAGACATAGCTATAGATCTGCTAATACTATTTCACAGACATGCCTAATACTGTTTTTGTGTCCCACTAAAATAAATGCTAGTCTTTTGTATCTTCCTCTAACACTGGCCTGACCATTGCCTGCATTTTCAGTTCAGATTTCCCATAAATGACAACTGACATGGTGGTCACCTTGCTACAATTTTTTTTTTTTTCCCTAATTAACAGAAAGGGTCTTGCTGCTACTTAGTATGCTGATTAGCTAGGTATCTTGCTCCCTCAAAAGACTTTGCAAAATTTTTCTGCAGGAAGGTAAATCATGGGCAGTGTACTTTATCTGCCAGATACCTAAGAGACAGTTTGAAGGAGTAGAGGCAAAGGGCAGGCTACAATCAGCTACGGGTTTCAGTGAGTGCAGTTTTGGATAAAGTTTTAGTGAGTATCCCAACCTGGGAAACGGAGGATGTTGATAAATTTATTGACCACACTGCTGTCCACAGAACAGCTCCATGGTTGCATTGTTCTTACTAGACTCTGTCTTGTATTTGTGCCTCTAAAATTAATAACCCCAAAACAGTATTTGTGGCCCTGAAATCTCCTCTTCTTCTAAGGCTGATGCAGAAAGACACTCACTACTGTCTTACTACTCAAATCAACTGGAAGGGATTTTCAGCCTTTTACTCACCCTCAACTCCTGGTCTTAGGCCACCTCAGTCAAAGGAGGACTCTATCTTTGTTGCTACTGATAATGGCAGCAACACTGTAATATCAACTTCTTCCACCCTGGTTTAACCAACACCCACAAGTCTCTGTTTGCAGCTAAGTGAACCTGCCCCGAGTGGTTTGTTCACAGCTCTGATTCAAGCAGCTCACAGAAATGTCTGCACTGAGCCTGTTTAATCTTGCATGTTGCAAGAGGACAACCTTCACTTACATGCATTTCATACTGGGAAGGTTGCTTTCACAACCATATGAGCTAGAAAATACTACCATTATAAAAGTCTAGGTCTTCCAATACTGCAGTTGCTGGGCACTCTCATTCACCAGTAGTTTCCACTAACAAATGGATTTTTCAGCCCTGAACGCAAGTCCTCTCCTTTCAAAACACACACACAAATACCCGTGCCTCAAAAAAACCAAACCCAAACCTTCAAACCTAAGCCAAACTAAAACAGTTTTCTTTTTTTCTGGATACGCTATGAGTTAGAAAAATCAACCACACAAACAGACAAGCAAAAAACCTACCCCAAATCAACCATCCAGCTCCTTCTACATAGGCATTGTGGAATAATACAAACAACCATCTAAGTTCATTTGTCATCTGCCCCCAGATTACATGCCAGCCCACTGTTCACTTGGTGATTTTATAATTTCTCCAGCATATTTCAAATATCTAAAGACTCTTAGCAGAAACATTCCAGTTTTGTTGTGTGATTATTAATGCAAACATTCCTTTTTTTTCTTTTTTTCTTTTTTTATGGTGGCTTATAAGCATTCATTACAATACTAATAAGAAAAATATCCATGCCTCTCCATAGCTGACATAACTCCATCCCAGTGGTTTGACAGTAATAGAAATACTTCTATTGTATACAAAAATACGGTTAGAAGTTATTTTTCTTCAGTGTTGTAACACAGTTCTGTGAAGCTGGAAAAGCAAGAAGGCTATATAAACATTTCCATTCTCTTTGCTATGTGGAATGTAAATAATATAGTCTTATTGACCCAAACCCTTTGGGCAGCCAGTTCATGACAAAACAGTCAAAGTGACTGTTCCTTTTGTCCTTTTCAGAATAGCAACTGCATCCTCATGTGTCACCCCTTCTAAACTCTGCCCATTCACAGCAATTATTTGATCCCCCCTCTTCAGGCGTCCATCTTCTGCCGCTGCACCCTGAAACGATATAACATGTAAATGCAGACTCAGACATTTCTTCTCCCTGCCACATTGTCTTTATGGTCTGAATAAGATGGGTTCAGTACATAAAACCCCTTAAAACTTTTTTGGTTTTCAATGATTCAAATACAGTCAATTGTAGTATGTAGCCTGCTAGTGCTGTAGTATGCCCTACCTTGTCTGTTTCACAACATCTAGAAATCGGATCTACAGGGGTTTTATATTCCCTTAATCCTGTATGTCCAGCTAGTATAACATTTAAACTCTACTATCATAGAAGTAAGATTTTTCAAGACTTGAAGAAGTTTTCAGCAACTGGTATAAGAAATTCAGTAATCAGAACCCAGCTCTGTATTTTGATTTTCCATAAAAGTTTGGGATTCTTGATTCCGTTTTCCCTGACTCAGGGCTTCTTCCTAAGGCAACCCAAACGATCAAATCCAGGTCAGTACCTGAATTTCTCCAAAGGCCCAGATTAAGTTCAATTATTTTACCTTGGTCTACCTTTCAAACTCTCAGTCAAAATAAACAGTCCCTTCCACTACCTGAAGAAAATACACTCTAAACATTAGGCAAAGGGACTGTTTTTCTAAGTATGTGCACAATTCCAGTTTTGAGAGTTGAAGATGACTTTGCCATATGCATTTCTAAATTCTGAATCTTCCTAAGACTATAGCCTTCAAATGCTATATATAGCACATTTTGACCAGCACTTCCACTAAGAAAAGCTGTGAGAAACTCTTAACAATCCCCTGGCTTCAGACTCAGGCCGTGATTTAACATAGTAGCTGCTGTGAACTAACTCATAAATGGATGGACTGAACAAATTTACACTTACCTTTGCAAACACTGTCTTCACATAAATGGGTAAGTCTCCGTGGGGACTGCCATAACCACCCACAATACTAAAGCCTAGGCCATCTGGTCCTCTATCCAGAGTAATGGTCTTATACTGAGGTGGTCTAAGAAAAGCAAAAAGAGTATTGTGATGTTGTCTGAACTTACGATTTAACACGTAGAATATTCATCAAAAAGTATTTTTCCTTTCAAGCTAAGCAAGGTATTTCCCTTTCCACTATAATTACGAATGTTTTTATTACAATGAACTGACTATTTTATTTCATGTAAAACATTATAACTGTCTAATGCCTTATTACTTAAAGGTAGCTATTTCAAACACTTCCTCCACCCAGCTCAGGGCAGTTATGGCTGCAGTTTCCCACTAACGGTGCTTACTGACAAAGTAGAAATGCAATACCAGTAGCTCAAATCTCCATAACAAAAATCTACTTTAAAAATCCTATAACCCATTACATCTCCTAAAAACATCTAAAATTAGTCCTAATAGTTTATGCCATAAGGTTTAATTGCTTCTCTCCTCCTCTAACGTATGACTGTGTATTTGTATGTATAGATTTATACAGACCAATACGTATATTAACCCACATACACTTTGACTATAAGAAATTTTGAAGTTTTGTCTTTCAAACTAGATCTGTGTGGCTAAATAACCCCATTCTGTCTTCCCTGTTCCGAGAAGAAAAATGCCAGATTTATGACAGTTTGAGGCAAAACTTGTTTACAGAGCTGTACCTTGCAATACACAAGAAGCAGAAAAGTTCAATGCTCCTGATATCCTAGTGCTAAAACACACATTATGGAAACACAGGTACCACTGTGGAAAGGGCCTTGCTATTTAAGTCTGAGAAAAACCATTTTGGGTGTATCACTTAGCTCCAGCTACCACAGTTCAGTGAAACAAGGGAGGCTATATTTACAGAGAAGAAACCAAATCACATCATAACTCTACAGAAAGGCAAAATAAAGCAGCATAGCAAATCAAATAATGAAAAATGTAGAAAAGGGCGTATGGCCTACAGGTTCCATGTATACCAAATGTGTAAGTTATGATTAAGCCAATTAATTAATGCATTATATCCTAGAATTTCTAAGTTTTTTAGGTTGAGCTGCACCTAAAGTAGCAGGCTACAAAGGTGGTACATTCTATAGTTACTGACCCTAAATCATCCTGAAAAATGCTGGTTGAAGTTAGTCCTGTGAATGAAAGACTGGATGTAGGTGGATCCTGCTGCTGACCAGTTACGACACTCACTTCTCCTCCAGCTACAACCTAGGAACAGAGTTCATAAACTAGTAAAATGAGAATGCTGACACTAAAATAATTCATTGTAGCAGCTGGAAAAATAGTATTCAGAAAATATTTCAAATGTCACTGAAGATTTTTTACCTGTAACTCAATAGTGCCTGAAGCATTTTTTAAGAGACTAACAGCCTGAGAGTGAGTCATGCCCTCAGTAGATGTTCCACAGATGCTAACAATCCTGTCCCCAACCTGCAGAAGAAAATGTAGAAAATCCAACTAACAGTAAGTTTAATTACACAGTTTTCACCACTTTCTTTCAACAATAACAGATCTGTGTATTTGTACTGAGCCAGATATTATCAGTGATTTAGGGCAGGAAGAAAGAAATTAGCAACTGTTCGCGGCACATTTTCTCTCAAAGGCATTTCACCTTTGAACTCTATGACTCCATACAAGGGTAGAAAATTCAACATCACAATTAGCAAATTTTACTGGTTTAGTGTATTCAGTGTAAAAAAGTATTTATTCTTTACAGAATTGATCCTAATACTCTAGAAATACACAGTGTGTAAAAAGAAAGATCCATTTTGCATGTCACCTGAAGATCAACAGAGTGAAGCAGTAAATTATCATCAAAGAATATATGTTTGAATTCATCCTGAAATAACACTGTCCAGTTTCCAAGAAGCATGAATCAAAGTCAACCACCTCTGGTACATACACACTCTGGCTGTATACAGTACAGCACGCATGTAACTGCTATATCAGGTAAGACCTCCCACTTTAACTCAGAACCTAGAAAGTACTATCTCTATCCTAAGACAGATAAGCACAGAAAACATGAGAGATAAAACAGACAGCATACATAAGTTGCAGGAATAAGCACCACACTCAACAGGAGAGCTCACTAACAGTATCAATCATCCTGAACCACTCTCTCTACTTTTAATTTTCTCAAGCTGACCACCTCTATGATGCAAGATTGCTTTACAGCTTCCTTCACAATGTTAGTATTTTTCAGCAAATACCTTTCACCGTGCTACCAATCTGAGTTACTGCTTCTCAATCCAAACAGCAAAAATTCTTGTCACAGCTGGAAGCATTTAAACTGCTAATTTATTGCCTACCTGGAGTAATTACAATGCACCACCCATGCAATCTTTACCTTCTTAACAGTTAACTTACCCTGAGTTTCTGAGTCTGAGCTGCAACACCATTTGGATGCATCATGGCAATAAATATAGGAACATCTCCAAGAGGACTTCCTACACCTCCAGCAATGCTCACTCCTAGTGAATCTGTCGGGCCCTGTTATTGTAATGAAAAAAGATTAGATTTTTCTGAAAAGAAAAACACATACAGAAAATTGTACACTTCTCTCAAAACATTACTAAAATTAGGATTCCTATGTCTCAAGTGATTTTTTAAGCTGATGCATTTTGCACCATTTTGTGAAAGGGAAGAGAGCACAAGATACATTTCTTCCTACCAGTGTTAGGTGACAATTTGCTAACTTAGTTGTATGTTTTATCTTAACCAAACCAAATACTTACAGAATTCAGCATCAGACCCTTAATAGCAGTACAGAAAGTCTGAGCAAGGAAAACTGGACAGATGGGATTGCTTGTCTTTAATATTGTCTATACCGATCTCCTATTACAATCCTCCTGCAGACTACAATTAATCTTTATGCTCCCCCTAGTGTCCCGTTGTTGAAAAACAAAACCAGTTGTTCACTACTGTACAACGTCCAACTACCTAACTGCAAAAACTGCTGTTCTAAACTGGTATTTGCAGATTCTACTGGAGAGAGGGGGTTGAGGGGGGGGGTGGGTGGAGAGAAAGAAAGCAAAAGCTATATACAATCCACGTAATCAAGTGAACTAGATGCCAGCCAAAGTTAAATAAATATAAATGTTCTGGACAATGAGAAGCAGTCTATGACTCACATCTCATGCTCCTGTAACTAAGGAAGTCAACTGAATTTCACAGTTGACAACGTGGCAGCTGTTAAGAGCCTACCCATTCAAAATATGTATGAAGAAAAATACAAAATACCTAAAAATGGGCTTGTAACTTTGGTACGGTTCCTCTGACTTCACTGAAATAGAGTCTGGATTTAACTCAGTCTGATAACAGTAAAGCTAGGTCTCATTATGTCTTACTAATGCTTCCTCCTTTTGCTTTCAAAACAGGTCATAAAATGTGGTACCATAAATTGCACTGATCTTACATAAAAACATAGGCAGTGGAGATCAATAGTTTTGACCTGAAAAGACAGGCAAATTAATAAGGTATTGCCAAACCAATCCCTCTGTCAAAATGGTTAATAGAGCCAGACTTTTTCCCTTCTGTAAACACACCTACTGACAACATCTACAAAACCTGTTCCTGATGTACACCACTTCATGCTGTAACTTACCTTTTTTATTTCAACTGTTCTTAGTCCCTGTATTTCAAAACCTGCTGTCAAATGAATTTAAAAAAAAAACAAACAAACAAACAACAAAGTTAAACTAAAATTTTTAGGAAATTTTTCCGTTAAAGTTAGCTAAATCACTATGATGGTTGTAACTATCTGCTGGTTTATTATAGACCTACGTTTTAAGCAGATTTTGAAAGTGGCTGTCATTACATTAATAGGATTGCAATATTTCTAGAATGGGTTAAAAGGTCATCCATTCTCTCCATTTAAAAAACTTCTGGAATAAGACTGCTAAGCATGCTCAAATAGAATAAAAAACCCTATTATTTGCTAGCAATACTTGCGTCAGAAGAAACTTTGTTCTATATTTTAGCACAAGACAGCTATTCCACATTTATTCTAATTAACCTATTGAGTACCTGGATTTCTATGAATAAGACAGCTTGACTGAAGATGTATTTAGATTAAAAAGAAAATTCTGTCTCAACTTAAGATTCTCAGTATCTAAACTGCTGGTATAACAAGCTGCTCGTTTCTTTTATAAAAGCTATTAAGAGATATATATGATGTACTGTACAATAACCACCCCTATAGCATTTTAATGACTAAGGAATCAGGCCTACAGCATATAATGGCAACATTTTAGAGAAAATGAAAGATCTCAGCTACTAGTTCATATGTACAAAATACTGCAAGCACCAAAGAAAACCTTACTGGTATTCTTCTTTAGACCACTTTCAAAGACCTCAGGTGCACTGGAACCAGAAATCGGGAAACTGAATGATGAGAGACTGCCACTTCCTTCACTGACCTAAATATAAGTGTTAGACTAGGATTAGAGAGCAGCTTCCGACACCCAATTAATAAAAGTAAAAATGTAACCAACTATACTCATCGGATTGTGCTGTATTTTACTATTTCTGTGCCAGTTAAAGGTGACACACTGAACCTCTACATACTTCTTGGTCACTCTAAAGGGCTCCTTGTTTGAAACAACATTAGACCAACAGAGATTGCATGTCCACAATCCCATGCAATGTTCTGAAGCATTGCTTCCAAGAGCCAGGTTCTATCCCTATATTCGCACTTTCTATTACCTCATAGAGATCTTCTGGTGCAAAATTTAGGCACAATTATCAAGGTAGGGACAGAATACAAAAGACAGATCTTTATACATCCTCATGTATACTCTCATGTTCACCCACTACATCAGCTAAAACTAAGATTAGGCCCTCCACTCAGCTTCACCTGCACAATTTCCAGAAGGATTTTCACTATACCCACAGGGCAACAAAAAGGAACAACATGGCTCCCAGTGAGACTAGTTCGCTGACTGTTGCAAACTCTTCAAAAATTCAGCATTGTGAGCTTCTTACTTAGAAACTTAACAACTTAGATTAAGACCACCCAGAGCCTGCATGTTTTCATTTTGTTTGGCATTACCTGTTTTGAAGAGAGCCTAACATTTCCGTGTTAGCCAGTCTTAACCTGCTTACTTGAAGCTGTTTAATTATGATTTGTCTTTAAACTATTTATCTTCAGTATTTGATGATCTGCATGCCCAGTTTATAACCAGAGAAATTCCTAAGGTAACTTGTGAGCTCGCAGAAATACAGCTCCTCCTGGGGAGAATTACGATGTGAGCTGTTACTACATGAAGGATGCATTCAAATGCAGAAACTGACGTGAGTAAGCAACACTCCACCATTAGATCAACAATAAAATACACAAACTTGAGAGAAGCCTGGTGGAAAGGGTGCAGGTTTCCTGCTTTTGATGACCAAGATTAAAATAAGAATATGCAAGGAGTGGAGAAATTCACTAAGTCTACTGAAACAACACTCCATTGCACACCAAGCACTCCTAAAATAATAAAAAGGGTTGAAGTCTACTCTTCCTCTAGTATCAATGAGAATCAGAGTGCTCTCTGCTTCCCAGGCTGAAGCCACAAAAACCATACTAAGCAACACAGTAAAGCCATTTCTGGAATACGTTTTTGGCTGGATCATGTCTTTAGCAGGTACAATATGCTAAAGTGAAGATATAAAATGGTTACCAAAGAGCTGCAAAGTAAATAAAAACACTTTTCTTCATCTTGAATCAAGTATGCGGAAAAATCATTGCAATCATAAAACCAATTCTTTTTATTTGCTTTCATTATTTAACCATTATTTCTTCCAAACTAAACCGTTTTACAGTTACATACCTGGCTGCTCTGGGATGTTCTCCTCTCAGAATGGAATGGACCAGCTTTTAGTCTTCCGACCTCTAGTCTTACTGTACCTAACGAACACTAAAGAACCAGTCACTTGTAACGCATCTCTTCTGTCAACAACATTAAAGCTTACAACAATATTTAAGTTATTTATTAGATGGTGCAAGAAGAAAAAATATATGGACAGAGGGGAAAATAACAGGCTAACAATTCTGTGATGAGAGATCATGGCAGGATCACTGTCATACAAACTAAGTACACCACGATATTTAATACTGAGCAGGGCACTTTTTGGATTAACCAGTATTACAATACAGATGTGAAAACTACACAAGAAGAGGAATTATGTTACCTTTCATTTAACAGGTAGTAGTTTTGGTTTCTCAGTTGCAGTGTCAATATAGATTTTCAAGATGGCAATTTTCAAGGAATAATGAAATTGACTATTTTCAAAATAAGCACTAAAAATAGTGTAATACCTCAAAGTATTAATCATTACTTCTGTTGATATGACTGGGAACATAGTATTTAAACTGGCAGTTAAATCAACTCTCTCCCGCTTGAAATTATCTGTTACTCTGGATCCATACCAACATAACTGAAGAAATTCTAGGCAGGAGATCTGCCAGATGTCTACCTCTAGTTTCAGTGACCTTTCTGCATCTGATCCTCAACAGTAAGCTGGGTGACACACATATCAGAAAATCCTTCCATTACTCTTTACACTCTCAATTATACTATTAAATATTTGCATGCCTGCATTAAACACGTCTCAGAAGAAAATTCACCCTGCAATCAAACATTGAGGAAACAAGACATTAGGCTGATTTTAGAAACAGATAGGTAAGTTGTTACCACAAACAGCATTTAGAAACCAGGTCTTCTCAAATAGTAGAAGTAGTGTCAAAAGAAGGTCACCTATCTGCAATGTACCGAAATACAGCAATTTCAAAGTTTTCTTGCTATTCTGCTTTTCCTTATTTGTTCCACTTTCCTTTTAGGAAAGTTGCTAATAGGAACTCCTGTATCCAGGTAACTTAATAGTATGTAAGTTTGCCTTTATTTATCATGCTTTAACTATATTACCCTAAGAGAAGTTCATGTATTTGTCACAAAAATCACAGTAAGAAATAGACCAATATATCAAAACCAATAAAACGATATATCCATTCAAACAGGGTGACACTAAAAGAGATTTATTACTAAATTGCTTTTAATTTTTTCAATAATGTTGACTTCTCTATGTCCTGGGAAAGACTTGATCAAAGCTCATGCAAAACCATTATTTCCCACTAGTATGAACTGACTCATATTAAGCTATATGGAAACTCTTATCCAAAACGGAAAACTAATGAAGTAATCCTTGTACCTAAAATTACCACATCTTCACATAAAACGCAAACCCATAAATGAGATTCAAAAGTTGTAATGTATGAAAGTGGGAGGTAATACTTTCCAACTGAACTTGTGAATAAATCAATTCTCAGTGAGTTTTTATTACAGCTTTTTCTCTCTTCCTGAAATTTCCCATTTGATAAATCCGTAAGTCAAGTTAGGGGAAAAAATGATCAGCTTTTCATATGTTTTAGGTATATTTGAAAAGAAACACTACAAGAACAGTCAAAATTTTCAGCCTGATGACACATTCTGGTGGTCTCATGCTCCTTAAAATATGTCAGGATTTTCCAAACATTCCTAAATATTTTTTAGGAAAATAAATTTCTGGCAGCTCAAGACAATTTGCTCCCAAATCTTACTCTTGTGAATGAAAACAGATAAAAATGGTGACTGCCTACAGGTGAATGATTGTGCTTTATAAAGCATGCCATTTTACTGCTTCTTGATAGTAATGTTTTAGATTGCATTGACCTTTGATATGGACAAAATTTACATAGCAAACATTATCAAGATCTTTAATACTATATATACACTAATATTATGTACTTCATAAATTTGTATACCTGATCCCAGTTGCCACTACAGCTACTACCCTGTCCCTACACACATCAGATGCATTATTCTCTAGTGTTTTCCCTCCTCTCCTCTCAAAAAAACTTCCTTCAACCTGTCTCCAGTATCTTGTAGTCAGGTGAGGCCTTCATGGACCTCTTCATAAGCAACTCTGCCCTCCTTAACCCGTAAACAACTTCAGACATTGCTCCCGTACCTTTTTCTTGAAATATTTCTTTTTTTTTTTTTTGGCTTTTCTACCTCTTTCTGCCTGTCCTTCTGTCTCTGTTATTTCTTTTTTGTTACATTGTGTTGCTTTTTGATCACCACTGACTATGTTATCCAGCACTGTCACTCTTTACTTTTACTCTCTGCAAGCACCCATCAGTCATCTCCTGGCTGGTAAGTATACTGCAAATACATGAGAAGAACCATCTTTGCCTTCCACATTGATGTAACACTGAGGACTGGTCTGAATTTTAAGAAATATTTGTTAATGTCTGGCTGCTGTTACAGAGGAACTACCTGAAGCTAAAGGTATATTTTACTTGTTGATTCTTTAAACAACTGGCAAAGGAATGGCAATGTATTGTTTACATATGGTTGTTCCATGTCATCTTTATATCATCACACTATCTAATGTGATTACCCAGCAAAATAAACAATGTCAAATCATGACTTCTTTGTAGGGAAGTCTAGTCTTTTAGACTACAGGTCTGGCATACTAGCCAAAAGCATACATAATTTAAAAGGCACTTCAAATACTGCCAGAAAAATTGCGTGAAATATTGGTGATCTTGAAGGGGATAAACTACACAGAGGTTAAGCTGCATGAGAAAAATCTTTCTCCAACTATGATCCTATTAGAAAACAAAGGTTTTTGTTTTTTCCTCTTGTTTTTTCCTCAAGTCAGTGATATGGTACAGCTCACAGTCTAGAACAGATCCCATGTCAAGAATGTGTTTGATTGTGTCCCTGACTATTTGGCAAAGCACACTGAAATAAATACAATTGTGTACTCTGAATAGGAAGGCTATGTGGAAACATTCAAGTCAGGTTAGATAGGTCTCTGATCACCCTGATCTAGTTGAAGATGTCCATGCTCACAGCAGGGTGTTGGTCTAGATGACCTTTAAAAGGTCCCTTCAAACCCAAACCATTCCATGATTTATACTGCATGAACAAAACTGAATCATTAACAATAACATATATGAGGTATTTTGAAAGCCTCATTTCTCAAGGCTACAGCAATTAATTACAAGTACTACTGAGTGGGATGAAGTATTTAAAACATGAATATATGAATAATAAGTGAATCTTCAACTAGCTACTCCGAAATGCTTACCAAAATGGAAGAAAATTTCCACATAAAATGTCATTTTAATTTAGAGGAGGCGTAAAAGTGCAGCCTATAAAGAAGAAACACACTACCCTTAAATAGTTAAAGTATCAGGTAAGAATGGAAAAGTACTATTATCCCAGAAAAGTACATTAATGAATTCACTATTAGAACGCAGACCCAGTTCTGGCATTCTCACTTATGGGCACATGCTGAAAATACAGAAAAGTGCTCTTACCTCCCCCTTCTAAGCATTGCCTCACCCCCCCCCAAAAAAAAAACCCAAAACCAACCAAACAAAAAACCAAGCAAAAAACTCAAGGAACTGTTCAAGACCTGGAAAAATATACCTTTGAACATGAGCACCAAGAAGCATGATTGTGTATCTATGTAACCAAGAATCAACTCCAAGTAGTGTTTTTCCATTGTAAAATGCTGAGTTGTTGGAATCCTTACCATACAGCAAAAATGTCTTAAAACTTTGGATGGAAAACAGACAAGCTGGCTGACCTACTACACTTCCTGCCAGACCACAGGAAATGTCATGTATGTGACTTCATTCTGATTTGGAAATAGGGGAGGACATCAAAAACACAAAATTTATTTAGAACAGAAGTTCCGGTTCCAAGAGCTGCAGACAGGAGTTTACTTCAGTTATCTTTGTGAGAAAGTTATTTCTTATACTAAGTACCTTGGTCTCTGGAAAATGCATTACAGTATAGAATGGATTTAAGGTGATACCAGACATACACAGGAAAAAAAAAATAACATTATCAACTATGAAAATAATAACTTTTTGGCACAACTACTATGATGAATTTTCCATTATTCCAAGTCAGTTCTGTGTATCTTTCTAAAAATGTGAGATCCTCAACCAGTTATCAGTTTGTCAGAAAGAACACTGTTAAGTTTTAGGCTGTTCTAGGTAATGATTTTCTATTGCCCTATAAACATAGAGCACTCTGCACCACCACTACTCCCATTTTCATCAGGAAAAGTATCAACATCAGAATGCTCTAGACTTCAGGAAGCTTAAATTTGGATCCACAGCTCATTCTCATTGATATCTAAGTAACAGTCTGAACTCAATCTGAATAGAACTAAAGCTTTCAAAAAATCTGGATCTGAATTCTTCACTTTTATCCACCTTCTCTTTTCCCAATACCTTTAGCAAAGCTGCAACAGCCTCCTGGTTAGCATTTCGAACATCTTCTCCATTTACTGTCAATATCTGGTCACCTTGCATCAATCTCCCATCTGTGTCTGCTATTCCTCCTTTGACGATGTCTGACACAAACACCCCTGTATCATTCCTGCAAATACACACACGGATTTTGCATTACAGTATGGTTTGAAGGACATTTTTATGGCTTGTTATTTGGAACACAATAACCACTGTCTCATTTTTCTGTTGAGTAACACTGGGCTAGTTCCTCTGGCCAATTAGCTTAGGCATAAAAATAACATGTATTCAAGCCCAGAGGACTTGAGCATCATATCCCAACAGAAACATGAGCATGCCCAGCAAGACTCAGACATTGACTTTCTAGTTACATTCATACCTTTTCCCAACAATACTCAGCCCAAGGCCTTTGCCAGGCTTCTTCTGGAGCTCTATATGGAGTACATCATACATGTCCTCCTCCTTGTACTGGGCCTCATCTCTGTACACTGTCAGACGAACTTTTTGGGGAGTCTGTCGGAGGACATTTATTGCTTCATCATGTGTAAGGTCAATCCCATTCACCTGCAATGAAAGCATGCAATGATAAAGTGTGCAGGACCTCCCAGCAGACAAAGAGAAAATGCCTAGCTAGCAACTGACAATAAAAGTGACCAAATAATCTACCACACCTCTAATATCTGATCCCCAGCCCACAGTCTCCCATCTTTAGATGCTGCTCCTTCTTCATATACTTCATGGATAATGATTGCTCCCTGTGGATAAATAAAACAAAATAAATTGCATGTTGGAAGAACATGCCCCTACTTTGAAACAAGAACAACTGAAAATACCTACTGTAATTAATCAGTGATAAGCAGGACAGTCAGATTTATGATGAACAAATTACCAAAACATTTAAGAAGTTAATCTATACTTCCAATTTTAAAAGTGCTTTTTTTCTTCCCCTCCCCGCCCCCCCCCAGCCCGAACTGATCTCTTAGGCATCTTTCTATAAATGCTACAGAAACCAATGAAGAAAAAAATCTCTTCTATAATTTTAATTTCATTATTGTTATTTCACTTGAGTGACACACATATTTTCCCAACCAACCAGCAAAGTGTCTGCTCCTCCAACAATGCTCAGACCAAGACCAGTCCGCCCTTTGGAGATATCAATGGTTGTTTCACACCCAGGAATGATGGGACAAGTAGCTGGGTCAGAGGCTAACATGGCTGGAGTTGAAGATCTGCTTGTGTCTAAAACAACAATGAAACATCTTGGTTACAGTTAAGAGGCTTTTTATAGAAAAGTGACTATAAAACAGCATTTTGAGAGTCCATTTTGAGGGACATTAAAAAGGCACTGATTAAAAGAAGTTCCACTGAAATTAAGAGGACTTGACCATTCAGAAATATGGATTTATGTTAGACAAATACTTAGGTATAGTGTGAGCAACAGGTCCTGCAGTAACAGAAACCCTAAAAGCTAAGAGTCTTGGCTTCTGAAGGAAACCAGAAGGGCAATTGAAACTTTTTAAGGGTAAAGCTTCTGTGTGAGTATAGAACAGATTACTCTACTGCTCTGTTATCCAAGTTCATTGTGTGTATGATGAGCAACTGTTTATGCTTAGTTCGAGCTAAGTAGGTGTGCTGGGTTGGCACGGTTGGGTTTTGGCAGCAGGAGAGAGGCTACAGTGGTGGCTTCTGTGAGAAGCTGCTAGAAGTTCCCGACTCCAAGGTGGGCCTGCCTCCAGTCCAGGCTGAGCCAATCAGTGACGGTGAAGCACCTCTGTGAATCCATATTTAATAAAGG